AGTTGGTATACCAAAGAATTGAAAATGTAAAACAAGTTTTCTAATAAATAGTTCATACAGTCACTTTGGCTTAAAACCTAATATATTCTTATAACATATTATATAGGCTGACTGACAGACCGTCTCCACTCTGAATTGTTTTTCACGTACAATGATATTAACATTGAATTCAAATTTAACACCTTACATTACAGTGGCCCACACGACACCTAATGAACCTTTACTTATAAGTTATAAGTTATAGACTATCAACGCYATTAAATGTTTTTGCAACCRCCCCATAATAGTTGCCAGTACKARCCTGAGTACTATTACACTATAGTAAAAAACACTTCTAAAACCAATTTTAGAACTACATTAAAATAAACCCCATTACTCCAACAATTTTATCAATAACTAAATAGGTTAGATATTATAGTACAGTAGGTACAACATATAGATAACAGAAATTAGATATACAATTTAAAATTCATACTGCTGAAATATGTCTAAATATTTGGTATWWTTTTAATAATCTCTAATTTCAATCCATATTAAGTGATAGAATAAGTAAATTTTATCAGAAAAGAAAAAAATGACATGTAATTCACATGATCAGAGAAAATATTGATTGATATTATCCTACAAAATAGTAGTATCATAATTAGGGAACGGATTTAAATGCTCTAAAAAACAAGAAAAATGACTTAAAATATACGACTTATTGCGCCCATACATTTTTTTTTTTAAATGCACTAAAAATATGCTCTTAAATTATTTTTAACATTGAAAAATGATTTATTATTATATAAATTCTTGTTCTTATTAATTATTCATATGATTATTTTAATATTTAGACTTTATTTTTACCCTGAAAATTGTATCGGTAAAAACATAATAAATAATAAAAGTTGAAGTAAGTCGAAGAGAATAAATTATATTTTATTTAAATGTTTTACAATGAAATTTAACTACAATTCTATCAAATTTTAGCCATTCATATAAAAAAAATAAGACTTGAAACAAAAATTCASTAAAAAATTTAAAAAGAGCTGTAATGTGTCTTAATACAAAAAATGCAAAATAAAGTTACAATTTTTTAACTCCTTGATGTATGAACTTTATACTTGGAAAGCAAGGTTTTTGGACATTTAGTGAAAAATATGTTTTTGCATTCAAATCTGTTCCCTACGCATAAGCATTAATAATACTATAGTAAGTTATCTAAATATGCGACTATGCGAGTTCAAGTACATATTTTTTTTTCTTTAAATACAAATAAGTATGTAAATAATTAGCTTAAATGGTATTTAGACCTTTTTTCAGTCATAGGGTTTTATCGTTTAGGCCTATTGAGGATTTTAATGATTATGTAATTTTTTATGAAACTGTTGAGTTAAAAATTTAGCAATCAGGGCTTAACTTTAATACATTTCTTAAACACAACAATACAAAATTAAGTTACTTTTGTAAATATCATCTGTGTATTTAAACAGTCTCAAGGTAATGATAATATATAATCAATGCATTATTGTAGTAATACATACCATAAAAATTACCTTTTTAAAGTAAATTTCCAAGTTACTTACACAAAAATAAACAACATTGTAAATCGGTACACTAAATTCCTTAATTGAAATTAAATAAATTAAGTTTTATCCATTAAAATATATTATGTAAACACAGCACAGACATTTTTTAATTTAACACAAAACTTGATAGTAATATTAATTTGTTTAATTTTCTTTAAACATTTTTCTTATTTGTTATAATTTTCTACTAAGGACCAGTGACAAT